TCTCTATAAGAAAAAAAGAAGGCATAATTTTCAGCTAATTGAAGGAATCAAAACCCAGTAATTGATTGTGATGATTAAAATCTCGGGCAATGATCATGATACAATAAAACCTACATCTTAACAGAGCAATTTCTCTCTATTTTGTGGAATCATCTAAGGTGAAGATTACTCACCACATTCAAGTAACTTTGGAAACTGAACAAAGAATGTGTAACAGGAATGTAGTTAACTTTGGTTGATCGTTCTTTCTAATCATTATTGTCATTGTTATAGATTTGACTAGCATTTATGATCATTCATTTATATCTCACAGAAGGGAAAGATTACCTCCCCATAACTGGCATAGCACCATTGCAAAAGTGAGTTTCTCAGGCTTTCTTGGTCTTGAACCAATTTTTCTAACTCCTGCTTCCTACTCTCTTGTGCTTCTGGACTATACTCAAAATCACGGATCTATATAAAGAGAAAACAGTTGAAGGAAATGCATGAGTTACATATCCCTCATCAAAAGAAGATACTGCAAAGAAGTGAACTACTCACTTGGAAGCCTTTTTCACGGGCACTAGCTCTGAAATTGTCTGCAACACGCCGAAAGAGAGTGACGGTGTAAAGGGCATACTCATTATCCTCATACAACTTCTTGGAGGACCTAGGGACCTGAAAAAAGTTAGTTAAATCTTATTCAGATTGAATGTCAAGAAACAGTTGACAGAAAAAGAAATTGAATGAAAACAAAAAAAGTAGTCAACTGTTCCATTGTCAATGAACCTTCACAACAAGGCCAGACAGCTAGCTCCTAAATCACTACCCCAAGAGGAAATATTCCCTTACTGATGCAATAGCATGAGATACAACAAAGTAACACAATAATCTTACCACATAGCTAGTCAAGGTTTCGTAGCTTGATAACCAATCCTTCTGTGAATACTTGGATACAACTGCAAGGAGAGTTACTAGGTTCTCCGAGCTGATAATATCTTCAGGTTTTACTAGGTTAGAGAGATCACGAACAGCTAAGCTGAATAGGCAGAAGGATAGATCGGCTAAGAAACAAGAATTTTAATTTAACTAAAGAAGTCTTTTCTAATGACATCATCGAAAGCGCTTCTACCTTCCACTTTGCTTTCGATTTATGGCATTCAGTTGACTGCGAATGTTGTTATACTCAGCAACACGAACCTGACATAAAAACCAACTTGTAAGAACCCAAATATTAAGCAAACTACACGATGCATATAAAACAACTATGAAGTAAACAGCAGAGTATTCTTCGGGAAAAATGCACAAAATTATATATAAATAGATATGAATGTGCCAACAGCCTCTCAAATTAGAGGAATAAATAAATGCATGTTTCAGCAGATAACAATACAAATCGCATTTTGCGAACGATTGAAGCTAACTCATACAAGTTGAAGGAAGCTAGGATTGGGGAAAAAAAAAAGAATAAGATATGATAACTAGGAAATTGTAGATAAAAGAACAAAAATAAAGACAAGAGTACAGAGGCTACACACAAACACAAAACAAAGAAATAGACAGACAAGAGAACAGAGAAAAAAACAACATTGTTCCAACCAACCAAGCTCGTTTGAAGTTAGTTCGTTTTAATGAAATAGTAGCCATTCAAAGACCTCAATAAATAGGCAGAGAATTGAATCCTGAAATCAGAATAAAATACAATAGGAAAAAGTAAATTGCATCTTCCCCATCATGCTGTGTTGGATTTCATTAAGCTTCCTATCTATCAAGGAGGTTTTGGGTTGAAATGCTTGATGGAGTTTAACAAGGTTCTAGCTGCTAAGAGGCTTCCAAGAGGTGAAGAGTAGTGGCAGAAAGTCATGTTGCATAATTGTTGGCTACAGACACAGCAGGTTGGACTTCTGAAGAGACGGTACATATGGCAGGGGTGTGGAAATGGATTAGCAGGGCTGAGCAGACTTTGGACAGAAACACATTTTTGAGGTAGTGATAAGGTTACCTATTTCGATAGGAAATTTGGTGGCTAATACAGTTTTGGGAATCAATTTCCAGTTTTATTTGGCAGCCGCTTGGTGGCTTCTATGACATCTCAGGAAAAAAGGTAGATCATAGATGTCCATGTTCCCTATAGCAAAAGCCAAAATCTTCTTTTTTCTTGTACAGGAAAAATCTAGCTTATTGAGGCCCTCAGATAGAGCCCTCCATAATTTAACATCAATCAACTGCTCCTCAAAAATTCACTTAAGTAGCAATTCTTGGTTTCTAAATATTAAGTTCAACTCATATTCATACATTTAGAATTGAAACATTTCATTGTGCTTCTACTCCTTGATTGAGAAGACATACCTGGTACAATACAGTAAACAATTTCTATATCCAAAACTTTACGGGAAACAAGAAAAAAACTATTGGATCCATAGATTCAACATTCATTAACTCTACCATGCCAGTCAAACTTGGTCATTAATCTCCGGATTTTATAGTCAATCATGAAGTTTTCCTTAGCATAATAGTTTTTGGTTTTCTAATATTTCCTTGATTGAGACTGGACACCTCATCTAGACCATCCAACCAGTTACAGGAGGATAATAGCATTAAAATCATTAAGAACAACCAAAAACCTCAAGTTAATGATTAGGAATGAGAAGTTAACTTGCATGCACAGGAAACTTTCCCATCTTAAGGTAGACGGTTCAAAGTTCAGATACACTAGACTCCATATCTTTGCAAATGCTAATTTGCAAGTTTATAAGAGAAGACAATACAACTGTTTATTTTTCCAAGTGACCAAAATATTAAGCTAAAAACCAAAACAGCAGAAACTTATGAAAGCAAACATTACCTTGAGATCATCCTCAATCTTTGCCACTTGCCCTTGAATGCCATCAATAATCTCCCGCAAGGGTGACATAGTTGGGTATCTGGCTTCCTCCCAAACGAACCTTCAATGAGAAACACCATAAGTCAGCTAATAGCCTAATATCAAATGCATCACTCATAAAATCCATACTACAAAATAATGATTGCCACTTTATCAAATTGGCATTTACCTGGTAAGATACGAATCAACTGGCACTCCATCTACTGTAAGAGAACTGCTCTCAACACCTGAAACCTTCTCCAATTCTTCAATCTGCCGCCTGATCTTGTGAGATACTCCTTCAACAAAGCTGTTTGACTGCACGTTCCATTATAGTACATGCCAAGTTTCTTAGAATGTAAAACAGAACTACGATGAGCAGCAAGGAAATGACAAATAGAATTGAAATAGAACCTAGCGAAGACCCATCTGGAAATTTTTTTTTTTTTAAAAATCAAACATATTTGCAACAAGAAAAAAGAAGAGGTAAACAAAGGCAAAAATTCTGATCCAACATTTTGAATGCTCTTGCAATTGCCAGCATAAAAAAATATACAAATCTCGTACTCTTGAAAATTTTTGACCGGACAAGGCACCGCAAGACAAAATCAAGCATTTGACTTGAAAGAAAAAAGAAATCCCCAATAAAAGCGAGAATGTCATGTCAAAATTGGATAGAAAGGGAGAAAACAGACCTTCAATAGATCATCGCTGAGGGCGAGGAGAGAGTCTAGGGTCCCTACACGGAGATTAGGTATATTGAACTGCAAAATCAAATCGAGATCAAATTAATGAGAATCAGATCTCGAATGATGTCAAGTTTAACAAAAAGAAACAAGCGGAAACGAAAAGGAAGTACTCTGTAGAGAGGTGTGTCAAAGGAGTGCTTGGAAATCTCCTCTTGCAAACGATTCCAGATAGAAGTTGCGGAGTTTTGAACTGGAAGAGAGACAATCCAGTATCTGGACGCCATCTTTTGCCCTGAAGAAGCTTCGTCCTCGTGCGGGAGAGAGCTAGAGAGGAGAGTGTGTAATTAAAACACAGGTGTCGTCTCGTGCCTGTTGTCTCCAGCGCTGGAAGACCGCAGATATCAAACGTCGGTTATGATCAACTGCGTTTCACCGCAGAGTAAGAATCTATTGGTCACAGTTATTTGACCAATTAAGACGTGCCACGTCGTCCCGAATAAAATACTAAAATCCTAAAATACGTGTTCTCAACCGAGATTCCAGAAGCGGGAAATTGAAAAACAAGCAGCCAGCTGGGAGCTCGAACCCAGAACCATGAGGTTTAAAGCCCTATGCTTCACCAAGTAAGCTGGATAGACGTTTTGTAGTTTTGCAGAAAGAAAAACTACGCAATGCAAAGTATAACAACAAATACAGTAGCTAATACATTTTTTTTATAAAAAATTACGAAGTTAAATCATAATAAGTATTATTTTATCGATAAAAAATTTTAATTAGAATTAAATTATATTTTTATTTAAAAATTATTTTTAATGTTATAATTAATGTGTATTTATCATCTATTATATGGATGATAAAGTGCATGGACATCGATATATTACATAGATGCAAGATGAGAGCATGGGCATTGATATATAACATAGACGCATTAATATCCTTATTCCTTTTACATTAATACACACACATTTGATTAATTTCCTGGTACATACACATATATCTATATGTCCCAAAAGAACCCTAAACAAAAAAAAAAAAAAAGAAAAAAAAAACATCACACTGCTCTCGAAATCAGCATCAAAATGCAGTAGTAGCACTACCCTTGCCATCCTTCTAATTTCCAGACTTGAAGAAGCACCACCATTATTATCATCATCATTATTATTATTGCTTTTAATCAGTAAGCTTGATGATCATCATGATTCTCTTTTTTGTTTTAATTTTAATAGAAATCATCGAGGGATAAGTTCTCGACAGAGCCAAAGTTGTCAAGAGATCCGATCCGGGAGTAGCTTGTGGCAGTGGTGGAAGATGATCCGCATAAAAAATCAAGGGGAGAGTCGTCGGAGAAGGTTGTGTCGTAGACAAAGGACATGCCGGAATCATGAAGATGATCCATTGTTGGGTAATATAAGGTTGATTTTATAGGCTCGTAATCTTGAAGGACGAGTTCATTTGCTGCTGCTGAATTCTTGGTTAAGTCAATATTACTATTTACATGATCTTGATGATCATCAGAAGCCTTTTTAGCCTGAATTACCTGAAAAACATGAGAATCATGAGTACATTATATATATATATATATATATGTATGTATGTATGTGTAATGTGGAAGAAGAGGTAGGATGACTTACATAATGCTGATTTTGATTATCTTGGTAGACCATGATAAAGTCTCCAAGTTGTAAGCCGTGAGTGTTAACAAATTCCCCTGATTCATTAAAGAAATTTTCAAGCATGCATGGATTGGGTAGTTACAATTATACATATATATATACATATATACGTGTATAGATATAGAGGAGGAAACTGAAAGAAGAGGATAATAGGGAAGTTAACGTTTGAGGAAAAAAGGTACGGTAAGCTTTGTACCTGTATTTTCAAGTACATACATTCGGCTATTGTTATTAGGCCAAAACCTGCTTAATATTTGAGAAAAATATGTATAAAAATATATTATTTATTTTTAGGAAGTAAGAGTTGAAAGAGTAGGTATAGATGGATTATGAACCTGTACTTGAAGCTCCAGGTATGCAGCCCATCCAAATCATCCATGCTGATAGGAATTCCTTCTTTGGATTCAAGAACTGGGAGGTAAGTCTCTGCAGCTTTCTGCTCAAACCACCCAGATGTAAATTATCAAAACATGTATTAATTTAGATTTTAAATCCAA